CTTGAGGATAATGAAGGGGGGGCGCTGGATAAAAGAAAGGAAAAAAGAAAGAAGTGAGGTTAGAGTGATATAGAGGGAGAGGTGAAGAGGATGGAGAAGGAGGAGGAGGAGGAGGAGGAGGAGGAAGAAGAAGATGAAGAAGAAGAAGAAGAAGAAGAAGAAGAAGAAGAAGAAGATGACGAAGAAGAAGAAGAAGAAGAAGAAGATGACGAAGAAGAAGAAGATGACGAAGAAGAAGAAGAAGACGAAGAAGAAGAAGAAGATGAAGAAGAAGAGAAGAAGAAGAAGAAGAAGATGACGAAGAAGAAGAAGAAGAAGATGACGAAGAAGAAGAAGATGACGAAGAAGAAGAAGAAGAAGAAGAAGAAGAAGAAGAAGAGAAGAAGAAGAAGAAGAAGAAGAAGAAGAAGAAGATGACGAAGAAGAAGAAGATGACGAAGAAGAAGAAGAAGAGAAGAAGAAGAAGAGAAGAAGAAGAAGAAGATGACGAAGAAGAAGAAGAAGAGAAGAAGAAGAAGAAGATGACGAAGAAGAAGAAGAAGATGACGAAGAAGAAGAAGAAGAGAAGAAGAAGAAGAAGAGAAGAAGAAGAAGAAGAGAAGAAGAAGAAGAGAAGAAGAAGAAGAAGAAGAAGAAGAAGAAGAGAAGAAGAAGAAGAAGATGACGAAGAAGAAGAAGATGACGAAGAAGAAGAAGATGACGAAGAAGAAGAAGAAGAAGAAGATGACGAAGAAGAAGAAGAAGATGACGAAGAAGAAGAAGATGACGAAGAAGAAGAAGAAGATGACGAAGAAGAAGAAGATGACGAAGAAGAAGAAGAAGAAGAAGAAGAAGAAGAAGAAGATGACGAAGAAGAAGAAGATGACGAAGAAGAAGAAGAAGACGAAGAAGAAGAAGATGACGAAGAAGAAGAAGATGACGAAGAAGAAGAAGATGACGAAGAAGAAGAAGAAGATGACGAAGAAGAAGAAGATGACGAAGAAGAAGAAGATGACGAAGAAGAAGAAGATGACGAAGAAGAAGAAGAAGATGACGAAGAAGAAGAAGATGACGAAGAAGAAGAAGATGACGAAGAAGAAGAAGATGACGAAGAAGAAGAAGATGACGAAGAAGAAGAAGATGACGAAGAAGAAGAAGAAGATGACGAAGAAGAAGAAGATGACGAAGAAGAAGAAGAAGAAGATGACGAAGAAGAAGAAGATGACGAAGAAGAAGAAGAAGAAGATGACGAAGAAGAAGAAGATGACGAAGAAGAAGAAGATGACGAAGAAGAAGAAGAAGAAGAAGATGACGAAGAAGAAGAAGATGACGAAGAAGAAGAAGATGACGAAGAAGAAGAAGATGACGAAGAAGAAGAAGATGACGAAGAAGAAGAAGAAGATGACGAAGAAGAAGAAGATGACGAAGAAGAAGAAGATGACGAAGAAGAAGAAGAAGAAGATGACGAAGAAGAAGAAGATGACGAAGAAGAAGAAGATGACGAAGAAGAAGAAGATGACGAAGAAGAAGAAGATGACGAAGAAGAAGAAGAAGATGACGAAGAAGAAGAAGAAGAAGAAGATGACGAAGAAGAAGAAGATGACGAAGAAGAAGAAGAAGAAGATGACGAAGAAGAAGAAGAAGAGAAGAAGAAGAAGACGAAGAAGAAGAAGATGACGAAGAAGAAGAAGATGACGAAGAAGAAGAAGATGACGAAGAAGAAGAAGAAGAGAAGAAGAAGAAGAGAAGAAGAAGAAGAGAAGAAGAAGAAGAAGATGACGAAGAAGAAGAAGATGACGAAGAAGAAGAAGAAGATGACGAAGAAGAAGAAGATGACGAAGAAGAAGAAGAAGATGACGAAGAAGAAGAAGATGACGAAGAAGAAGAAGATGACGAAGAAGAAGAAGATGACGAAGAAGAAGAAGATGACGAAGAAGAAGAAGATGACGAAGAAGAAGAAGATGACGAAGAAGAAGAAGATGACGAAGAAGAAGAAGATGACGAAGAAGAAGAAGAAGAAGAAGAAGAAGAAGAAGAAGAAGAGAAGAAGAAGAAGACGAAGAAGAAGAAGAAGAAGAAGAAGAAGAAGAAGAAGAAGAAGAAGAAGAAGAAGAAGAAGAAGAGAAGAAGAAGAAGAAGATGACGAAGAAGAAGAAGATGACGAAGAAGAAGAAGATGACGAAGAAGAAGAAGAAGAAGAAGATGACGAAGAAGAAGAAGAAGAAGAGAAGAAGAAGAAGAAGAAGATGACGAAGAAGAAGAAGATGACGAAGAAGAAGAAGAAGAAGAAGAGAAGAAGAAGAAGAGAAGAAGAAGAAGAAGATGACGAAGAAGAAGAAGATGACGAAGAAGAAGAAGAAGAGAAGAAGAAGAAGATGACGAAGAAGAAGAAGAAGAAGAAGAAGAAGAAGAAGAAGAAGAAGAAGAAGAGAAGAAGAAGAAGAAGAAGAAGAAGAGAAGAAGAAGAAGAGAAGAAGAAGAAGATGACGAAGAAGAAACAGACACGCACGTACACGCAAGTACTCTCACCATATTACAAAGCCATGAGAATTCTATTTTAATTCTCGTATTATCCTTATTATCATCATTGTTACTGTTACTGTTGTCGTTCCTGTTGTTATTATCATCTTTATTACTATTTTATCATCAATCATCAACTTTATCTCCATCTTCTTCATCTCCATCTTCATTATCATCTTATTCATCATCATCTTCATCATTATCATAATCATCTTAATCTCCATCTTCATCATCATCATCTTCATCATTATCATCATTATCATTCTTCTTCTTTGAGGCAAGTACACTGCACTGAAATAGTTAGCCCGTCTATTTATTCACAATTACTATTTACACGACTATCCGCGGAGGGACGTTTAGAAGGAAGGTAGGAGGGGAAGGGGAAAGAAAGGAGGAAGAGGGAGAAAGGGATATGGGATATGGAGAAAGGGAAACAGAGGGGAAAAGGAGGGGGCATAAAGAGCAAAGTGGGGAAGGGGGAAGCGAAAGGATGGGATAGAGGAGACGGGGTTAAAAGGAAGAATGGGAGAAGGAGAAAATGGATAAGATAAGATAAGATAAGGAAACGATGTTTAAGGAGTCAAGGAGGACGGAGGAGAGAAGTGGGAAGGGAGGAGTGAATATAAGGAAGATTTGGGAGTGACATTGGATGGCAGACTGGGAGAGGTGGAGAGGGAGGGAGAGGGAAAAGTAGAGAAAGAGGGAGAGGGAAAAGTAGAGAGGGAGGGAGAAGGAAAGGAAAAGAGAGAGAAAATTCGAAGTGTAGAAGTAGGAGAGTGAAAGAGGGCGATAGAGAGTGCCTTTCCTATTTTTTCCCGCTGAATTCAACGGGTCCCACTAAGAATAATCAATAAATTTCTTATACCTACATCCATTACTCTAAAAAAACACCATCACTGGTATTTACCGACACCATATATTTTCTTTTCAATCACATCAACCCACCCTTAATCTTTGTTTACATACAGGATCAATCTTGACAATATAACACATCAACCTTCTTGTGTAACTATCTCGTTACACTTTGCAATGGATCGGCAGCGGCAATAAATTGACTCCCGCTCGATGCCACACAAAACTAACACGCGCTGACCCTGATATATGGCGTAATGTCACTGAGACGCCCTGTTATTTTGGCATCAACCGGAGGACCTCGTTACCGGTGGACAGAGCGCAGGGAGGGTTGGGGCTACTCTGTGCTGTTGTTGTTGGTATTGGTGGTGTTATTTGTGTGTGTGTGTTTGTGTGTTTGTGCTTGTGTTTGTGTGTGTGTGTGTGTGTGTGTGTGTGTTTGTGTGTTTGTGCTTGTGTGTGTTTGTGTGTGTTTGTGTGTGTGTGTGTTTGTGCTTGTGTGTGTGTGTGTGTGTTTCTATGTGTGGGTGTGATCGTGCTTGCGAATGTGCGCATACAAAAAAAATATTTCCAGCAAATTCATAATATATAAATATCCACAATCATTTAACAAACAAAACACACAAACACATCGCAATTACTCAAATTCCGTCCAGACAACGACAGCATAGAAGTAATAAAATCCATATTAATCCAAGCACCTTTTACCGCAGGATGACAAAGGAAAATTTGCATCGCCGGTAACTGGGAAGGAACTTAATCAGTGTAATCGTTATAACGACGAGTGCCGTTAACGAAGCTCTTTCCGAAACTAATTGGACCAAGGAAGGCATTCGTTCCCATCCGTCCTGGTTAGAAGAAGGTGCTCGTTCATGTCGTCCAGGAGTCGCAAGGATTAGTTCCAAGTATTTGTGGTATCACTGGCTGTATGATTTTATTATTATCATTAACCTGTTATCACTATGATCATCATCATTATCGTAGAGAGTGCCTCTCCTAATATTATCATTATGATGATGATGATGATGATGATGATAATGATTACCATTATCATTGTTATTATTATTTATTAAATTATTATTATGATTATGATAATAGTTATAAATATTAATAGTATAATTATTATGATAATAATGATGATGATTGATGATGATGATAATGATGAAGATGGTTATGATGATGATGATGATGGTGATTATTATTATTATTATCATTACGTTTCTGAAACTAAATGATCCAAATATGGCATCAGGATGAGAACTTTCGTTCACATCCGTCGAAGAGTCGTAGTGATTAATCCCAAGTACTCGTTGTATCTTTGACTGTACGGCGTATTAAGCCTTAAAGGACTTCAAAAAAGATGATGCTCTGATTGGTGTGAGAGAGAACAGGTAAGGTTTTTTTTAATTTTAATTTGTGGTTGTCTCCCTGTTCTTCATTATTTCCATTTTTTCCACCTCCTTCTTCCCTTTTCTCCCCTTCTACCTCCTTCTTTCTTTTCCGTGACCCATTTTTTTACCATACCTTTCTCCTGTTACATCTGTATCTCCTCCGCCCTCCTCCTTTTCGATCAATGCATATGTATGTATATGTATATATGTGTGAATGTTTATTTGTGTATGCATGTATATATGTATATGTATATGTAT